AAATCGTCCATTTCATTCTTCTTTCTAATCATTATTTCCAATAAAATTCATTTATTATTTATAGTACAATTTAATTTCAACATATTATTTTTTTAAAATTCATTTTTATATTCTTTTTCAAAAAAAAAATACAACGTCTATTTTGTTTTTAATTAAATATTGAGAAAATTGAATTTCGACGAAAATTGTCGAATGCAACGAAACGACAAAATTTATTTAAAATCATGAATACTTGATGACTTCTTCATATATCTTATATCATTGATCATTTTGATTAAAAAAAAAGAAAAAATTTATTGTTGATTAAACAAATAGCTTGAAGAAATGCATTTAAGATGATTTTTCATTGTCATTGTCATTTCACTAAGATTTCAAGATTTTGAGCAAATAATGTTGATTTTAGATTATATTTTATTTTCTGTTTAATTCATTGATATAATTTATGAAAATTCATTTGTATTTCACCTAATGTGGTTTCAAATAAAAGGTCAAACAAAAGGTCAAGAAGCATCTCGAAAAGAATATTTATGTAATTGTCATAATTCACGGTGATTCTCTTATACATATTATGTAGTCTTTCTTTTTTTTATATCTTATTTTTTTATAAATCTAGATATTTTCGCGTATTTTTTTCAGAATTGCTATGATTTATCAAAGTTATTGGTGACTAGTTATAAGATTAGTAATTATGATAACTCTTGTGAAAAATTCTCTTTTTACGGAGTAGTATTGATCATCCCTAACCTAGTCCTCTATTAGTAGCCTGGAACTTTCAGAATACTTCACAATGTCTTAGCTTTTCTCAGCATTATCCTCTGGACAAAGATTCTTGGAATCTGTTGGAACTACTTTGTTAGTACAGAGTTCGCAGTCCTTAGTATTCCTATCACCAATACGGACCACTTCAGTTCCATCTTCCACATCTGCAATTCATTTTTCAGAATGTAGAGCTGGTTGGTTATGGCTTTCAGCGTATTCTGCTCCTACTTGCACTTTTCTTCCTGCTACTATAAGTGAAATTATTTTTGGAACATTTTTGCTGCATTTTAATCTGCATTCTGTCTGTATACGATCAATTGTTCATTGAAGTTTCCCGAAAATTTACTATTAAATATTAAATATTGTATCGTATTTCTTTTCAGAGCAAAAGGCTTGGAACATAGCGAGATGCGAATTTATACTTATTAGATTCAAATTGCATTCAAGAAATACTTAGTAAGTCAATAAATATATATGCATCATTATAGAAAGAAAGATATATTGCCAAAAATTTAAAAATTTCTTTTCCATATAAATGGTCTTCAAATGGAAATTGGGATAAAATTCAATTTTGATATAACATGGGAAATATTGGAAAATATTTCAGCAAAGATTTCTTCATATTTCTAATTATGCATTTAAAAAAATGTCGAACTTTTTACGATTTATCACATCAATTTTCCTTTATAATTTTATGAAACTTATTGACCAATTATGCACCACAGAAATCTTTTTTTTTTTTGGTAAGAAACCAAGTTTGGTATTGATAACTGATATTTAATTTTTTTTCTTGAGCCCTCACCATTACTGGTTTGACTCGCTCCTCTGGTTTGTCACACTGGACAAATATGCCAAGGAATCTCTTGGCCACAGAAGTATAGATGAGTCGCCAGCACAACCAGGATTTTTGGACAGGTTTACTCCCGCAAGGAATAGAACCTCAGTATTTGCGCTCCGAATTAGAAACAACCCACTGAGCTATCCTATCCTCCTTGGTATTCAATTACTTCGAGATATTTCGAATCACCTATTATTATTCTGAATTGGCCAATATTCATCTAGAAATAGTATTATTGTTGAATGTATTCCACATTTCTATTTTTTTCACTTTTGCTATCGAGAAGGATTTAAGTCATTAAAATTTTTCATTAAAATTTTGCTATCGAGAAGGATTTAAGTTCATTAAAATTTTTCGAAGGAAAAAATAAATCCAAAAATAGAATAAAAAGGATTAATTTTCTTAAACTTATTAGATCGGCTTAATTAAATGTGCACATTTTTGATGTTTGTCGAATAGTGTTTTATTATTTTTCGCAAAAATTCGTTTTCAATTTTTTATAAAAAAATTAAAACAAAAATTGAGTACCGAAGATGAAGAAATGAAATAAGACTGTCTTATGCAATAAAGGCCGTAATAAATAAGCAATTTTTATGATAATTCGAGTTTTTCTGATGCCCACGAACAATTTCCTCCTTTCGATAATTTTATTCTTTTTCCTTACATTTTGTTCTATTCAGAAAATTAGTTAAACGAAAAGATAGAATTCAATGAGCAAGCGGAATGAGACTTCAAGAAAATATGTTCTAAACAAGTAAAATAATTAATTAATTATTAATGTAATTTAATTAAGCCAATTATTTAAAATCACGGAAAATAAAATTTAGTTATTTAAACTGTAAATGCGATGCTTTGCGCTATGTTCCTTTAATATATGTCTCTGAAAGGCAAATTCTTTGTGGTATCGCTCGAGGGCACTTCAAAAACCGTTCTTTTATTCATCTTCAAGCAATGTAGACATCTTCCATCTTCCTATTTTTTGATTTTTATTCGTATATTCGATTATTTAAATTGGATCTAATTTTTTTTCCAATCGACTTTTGATAAAATATTCGCCTTTCAGAAAAAGGATTTTTTGATATATATTGTAATGTGATTTTTTTTTTCTTTGCTCTTAGCTTTCATCTAAAAGAGCCTTATATTTGATTTGCATCCAACAAGGATTCTGCAAACTCGTCATTAATCTCATTTTATTGCATTTTTCAATTTCTTTAATTATTTCGTCTACAAATATATTGTCATATATTTTACTACCAACTAAACCGAATCTAATTTGCTGAATTACTTTCAAAGAATAATTCGCAATTCTAAGTCCACAATTTCATAATGAGAACATTCCCCAAAGGAAAATGTTAAAACCAGAATTGCATTTTATGTTTCATGAAATATTTCCTTTCAAATGAGATTTTTCATAGTTCGTCAGTTGTTGAAAAAACTTTGAAAATCTATTTCTCTTTTATTCAATAAAAAATTTTTTCCTTTTTTTTATAATAAAGTTCGGCTATAATCGCAAAATTACAATAAAATAAGATTTTTCAGAAGCTGATTAAAGTTGTTATCAACTATAGCCATCAAATTATAATTCATAATTTCGGCTAGTTAATAATTTCTGGAATATCAGAAATATTTAAAAGTCGAATTTCTCTATAAATATTACTTTCTTTATTTTTAGGACCCAAAGACTTTTATCAAAACTTTCAAAAATATGCAGAACAATCTCTCATTGATTAAATGATAATACAAAACAAAAGCCTTTAATAAAAGCTTTCATGAGAGGCAAAATTTGATTTTCTCTGTATCAAATTTTGCATTTAAGAAGCGTTATTTTATTTAAGACATTTAAAATAAATCCTCCACAAATGCAAATTGACGATTTTTCATATCTTTTAAATCGTCATGTGGTCAATAATTATCATAAAACTCATTCCGAATTTTTGATTTTCACAGATGATTATATGCTAAACTGGCCTTGAGATGATGCTTAAGAGGGCCATAAAAAAAATTTTAATGAAGAACAAATTTCTTGGATTATATCAAAATGCATTGAAGAAATAAAGTAGATTGATTATTTTCGAATTTTTTTAGACAACTTGGGAGGTTAAAAAAAAAAATTGAAAATTCTCTGCATGATCAGCATGAATGTTCCCTAAAAGATTTGTGCTGAACATTTGAGACAACGCGGATATTTTATTTCAGTAAGGTCATGCTAAATAACCAAACATCTGTCGAAATAAGTCGAATTAATATTTAATATTTGCTTATGCAGTTTCTAAATAAATAAATATATCAGTTTTGCTTTTATTAAATCTTTTGATCGATTGGTTCCAATTGTTTTCTGAGACCAAAATTTTTATCTTAATTTATCAACGGCTTATCAAAATTAGAAAATATTAATTGCGTAAATTATATCATTGTAATTCGGTAACTTTTCTGCTATTTGTTTTTTCTTAATTTTCCCATTTTGCTGAGTTTTTTAAATATATTTTTTGTTCAACAAATTTATATCAAAATTATTTTTAATACCGAACATTTAAATTGATACGCTAAATCAACATTTTAATTGCTTAAATTGCTGTCATTTATTCATTTACAGCTAAAATGGCTAAAATATTGTGAAAGTTTTCATTAATAAAGCATGGTGAAAATAATTTTAATTAATAATTTAATTAATTAAAATAATTTAAATTAATGTAAATGTTAATTTTACTACGTTATTTATAGTACCAATAAGCAAATAATTCATTTAAAATGATTAAATTACGACTATTCAGCAGTTTTAAATTTATTATAAAAAATAAGAATTGTGCAAAAAGATTAATTTGTTAATTAAAAGACTAATTAATTAAAAGACTAATTAATTAAAAGACTAATTAGATTATAGTTTGGATGGATTAAAAATGAATGACGAATAAATGAAATATCAAAACGAATAGTCTAAAATATTATTGTTTCCTTTGTTTTATTTTTTTATAATTGCAATCTATAAATGAAAAAAACTAATTTTTAACTTCATTAGCAGTGTGGATGTTTCATCAATGCTGAAAGAGGAAATCATTATATAAGCGTGGAGGCTTAAAATCGTGAGATTTTATTATTTATAATAGAAAAATTTATATATATTCACAAATTTGATTTACTAAGAAATTTTGGTAAAATCTGAAGCCAATAGTTATTTAGTTATTCTTATCGATTCAAAAAATTAACACTGTATACTTCGATATTAAATATCAGAATATTTAAGAGAATTTTTTTAAAAAATTTTTAAACGAGCAATTGATAGAAATCATCGATAATTTGTAGAGCTTGTATAGCTCTTCCAGAATATTAAGTTAAACTTTCCTAAAAATATATCGCAGTGATTTCTATTATTTTTATGAATTTTTATGAAATCTTGCAGCTAGAGATGGATAGCGAAAATCGAGTAATATTAAATGTTGGTGGAATCAGACATGAAACTTATACTCATGTGCTTAAAAAAATTCCAGCTACAAGGCTATCCAGGTTAATACACAAATTCGTCGAAATTTTTAAAATTTTCAAAATGAAAATTTTCACAGGGCATCGTTTAGAAATATATTATTAAAGGATTAAAGCGAAATAAAAGATATCAAAAAATAAAAAGAATAATAAAACTAAAATAAAATAAGTACCGCATTTATTTTCTCAAATTCTATCAATTTTCCTGTGAACCGCTTCTGCTTGGCTGATTCACTTTACTAAGATTTTTAGAAAATTTTTTAGCCAGAGGGTTATTTTCGAATTGAGATATATTTATGGGAAGGCATACTGCAGACACAAGGATAGCACTTTAAATTCTTACTTACTTCAGTCTTACTTAAAAAATCGAACCCAAATCTATGTTGCTTTTCATTCAGCTGAAGCATGTTTCGATTTATATACACTGGTTATACACTGGTTATAGCAATACACTGGTTATATCAAATTTTAAAGCCAAAACCTAAGAAAGGAAAATAAATTTTTATGAGAAAAAAATTCCATTTCTCAACAAAAATGAACGCTAAACATACAGTATTATTTCACTTATTTAGAATTTCATGAAACGACCTCAAAAATATTTAGGTTAACTCCAAATTTGGCCAACTATGATCCAGTGTTAAACGAATATTTCTTCGATCGGCATCCTGGAGTTTTTTCTATGATTCTCAATTATTATAGAACAGGTTAGTATTTATTCATATTAATTTTCGCGCTATATTAATTTTTTAAAGAAAATATTATGAGCAATAGATTAGATTATTGCAGGCAAACTCCATTATCCAACAAATGTCTGTGGCCCTCTATTCGAAGAAGAACTTGAGTTTTGGGGCTTGGATGCAAATCAAGTTGAACCATGTTGTTGGATGACTTATACACAGCACAGGTGTGCCATATAATTTTTTCAAAAATTATTCGAAAGCTTATCAGCTAAATGTAATATTGTAAATGTATTATTATAATTGATAATAATTTTATATATTCTGTGTGATATTATATTAATATAATATGTGTGATAATATTTTATCATTTATAAAGAAATTTAACAAGTGCAGAGATGCTGTCAATCGGGAATCTGCAAAATTAAATAAATCATGAATTGAATTAAAAATTTTGACGAGATTTAGTTAATTAACATATCTCGAACTTCATTAATCTATTCTTATACTGATAGGAAGAAATGGCATTTAAATCCGATGTATATTTATCTCACTGCTTATTAATTCAATTCACGTTTCTTTCTAACCAATTAAAATATAATCATCAAAAAGAACCTGGTAAACCTGATTAAAATAATTTTTCTGGCATTTAGAGATACACAAGAAACATTGGCAGTAATCGAAGGTCTCGATTTAGACGTTGATCCGCCGAGTCAAGAAGAAATAGCTAAAAAATTTGGCTGGGAAGAAGATTATTATTCGGGATCATTATCAAAATGGCAGCGATTAAAGCCAAAGATTTGGGCGCTATTTGATGAGCCATGGTCGTCAAAATATGCAAAAGTTAGTTTAGGCAATGCTATTTATTTATACTTTAAAATTTAGGCCAACTTCTAACTATATTAATTTGCTTATGCGACAAATAAATATATTTAATATATGTACGGAACCACTAGAAATTTTATAAATGAGGATATTAAATTATTTAATTTATTTTTTGCGCCTTCAAATATCATTCCAGTTTTTTTTTATCCTTTTTATTTCGAACCTGTTTCCATTCTTAGTTCCGTCGTTTTTCAAATTATCGGCAACTTATTATATATCGGTAATCATTTTAGGTGGTATCATGTTGTTCAGTGTTTTTTGTTATTGCTAGTATCATTTCGTTTGTCCTCAAGACTCATCCAGCTTTTCAAATTCCTTCTATTACTGGTAAATTTTTTTTATCCTTTCTTATCCAACTCTTTTGATCTTAAATATAAATCAATTTTAAATTAATTCTGATCAAAAAGATATAGCAGGATTATTTCTACGCAGCATACTTTAATTGATGCAGCTAGTAGCATCAAACGTGCCATATCTAAAGGCGTTCTACAAAAGACAAAGATATAGCGTAATTATTATCTGATATTCCCGTTATCTATTGTTAGCTGTTATCATTTTCTATTAATATTACCTGTTATAAGAAATCTGATATCTAACACTTAAAATATTTTTCTTAGGGAACTCTTTAAGCATTTTGTATTCTCGAGTGTATCAAAATTTTTGCATTAAAATCGTGAAAATTCAAATTTTATTGAAGAGACTAAAATTTTCATTCCTAAAATAATAAATAAATAAAATTTATTCATTCAAGAATGGAAAGATGCATACCTCTATAATATTTCATTTTGTAGTTGATAATAATTGCAGTATACGATGTTCGCCTAGATGATAGCGATTATCATCGATATAGTCATATGATCACCACTTTTAAACAATATACCACATCCCATCCATTCTTCTTCTATATCGATCTTATATGCAATGTTTATTTCACTGCGGAATTAGTAAAACTTTTTTTTTATCAATTTTTTTTTATCATAGTTTCAAAGCTTTCAAATTTTCCAAAGTTTTATTTTATCAAAAATTTCATTCTTCGATTCATATGAATTATATTACCAGTTTTTAGCTGGCAAGAATGATATTTGCTCCCTCACTTAATCGTTTCATACGATCACCTATAACATTAATTGATTTGGCAGCGACAGCATCATTTTACTTGGATTGGTTAACAATAACTTTCGTCGAACCAGAAGAAAGTATGGATTCAGTGGACTTTTTATCAATTTTCTGTGTTCTTAGATTATTTAAATTGACACAACACTTCAGTGGCCTTAAAATTCTCATACAAACATTTAAAGTAAGTTTAAGTTTATTTTCATACATCATTCATTTAAAAAAATAGAAAACTACAAAAATGTTATTTAAAAAATCTCTTTAATTTCTTCCTAATGTATTTTTATAATATGTATTATGAACTTCTGAAAAAGCTATTGATTTAAAAATAATAGAAATTATAGATATAATAATAGAAATTTATTAGGCATCAGCGCAAGAATTGTTATTGCTCGTCTTTTTCGTTATTCTTGCTATCGTGATTTTTGCCGCATTAGTTTATTATGCAGAAAGAATTGAAAGAAATCCGCATAATCAATTTACTTCGATTCCAGCTGGTCTTTGGTGGTCAGTTAGCTTTTTTTATTTTCTGGTTAAGCCTATTTATTGATAAAAGAAGATTAGTAAATTTGACTGATGAAGCTTTATAGAAGAAAGTCTATAAAATAAAACGATTGTTTTGATGGAAAAAAGAATAATATATATATATATATATAATATACCTCTTTTCTATACCTGTTATGTTGACTCATTTGCCTTTTCAGGGCTATAATAACAATGTGTACTATTGGCTTTGGTGACATGGTGAGTGATTTATATTGTTGCTAGAAAAAATCGAAAATATGCCAGGCTTATTAACTTATCTAGTTATTCATCAATTTAGATAGTTTGTGATCTCTATTTCGGCATCGGCATCTTCTTTTTTCCGAATTGGCCATTTTCTTTCTAAACACTCCTAAATTATTTGATAAATATTTTCTGGATTAAGTAATGAATATCAAAAACAAAAATTTTCAGGTTCCAAAGACTTATTTAGGCATGCTAGTTGGTTCATTATGTGCGCTAATGGGTGTGCTCACAATTGCATTGCCAGTTCCAGTAATCGTGGCAAATTTCTCAAATCTTTATTCACATTCGCAAGTTAGTAATATTTTTTTTATTCATAGATGAATATTAATATTTGAAAATAATAATGAACCATTATTAAGGGATTTTCAAGTTTTTTCATCAAAATTTCGCTAATTTCATAATTGTAACTTAAATTTTAATTTTATAGATGAATAAGGATTTTTTTTTATGTTAGATAAATAAATTTATAAATACGAGTTTTGGTGCATTTATTAGCCTTTTATACCCTTTCGTTATTTTTTCATTTGGACAACTGAAAGTACTTGTTGAAATTTTATAAAAAAATCATATTTATATTTATATAAATTTATAAAATTTATATTTAAATTTATATTTAGATTTATAAAGCGTAACCAAAGCAAATAAAGGAAACTTCAGGCTAGGTCTAAATTGCCTAAAAAAAGAAGAAGAGTACTTCAAGTTCACGAAGTGAAACATACAAGTACAATCAAATTTCCAAAATCAAGGAAAAAATCAAGTGATGATAAAAGTTCGTTTTGTTTTTTTATTTTGTTTTTTTATTAAATTATATGAAATGTATTATTTTCTGAATTTCTTGATGCACAATAAGCTTATCACTTTTTCACTAAAAACTAATGGATCATTTCTTTTAGAAATATTAGCATTGATACGATTAAATGCATCACCATTTCGAATTTTTTCTCAGGGAAAACTTTCATCAAATTTTTCCCGTACTTTTTTCTTTTTTGGAAAATGACTTAATGGAATTCTAGCAATACTCCGTTTTGCTCCGCAATCACTTTTGATAAATTTGCTAGGATAACGTACTTAAGGAAGGAAAAAAGGATAACATACTTAACTCATTCATTTTGCTATTGATGAAAAAAATTCTGTTAGATGTCCTTCGTTCTTATGAAATCCAGCGAGCATTATCATTATCATTAAATTCATTATTATTAATTAAATTTATTAAATATTATATAAATTTAAATTTATTAAATGCAATTATAATTCGAATTATAAAGCTATAAAGCTAATTAATTATAAAGCTATAAAGCTAATTCGACTCAAAACACTTAATTTTTTTAGATGAATCCATAATTAAGCTTGAAAATGCAAAATTTTTTCAATATTTTTCGGTAAAAATGATAATCGAGAAATGATATCGCCTAGTTATCCATTCCAACTATATTTCTCGCTTCAATCAAAAATAATATATTTTCTATTTCAAATGCGGCGAATTAGGTTCCGAGTTATATAAAAAGAAGGACTGTTAATCATATATAACATTTTGCTATTATAATTTATTCAAAGTCATCAAGTGAATTTTAATTACTATTATCCTATGACCACATTTTATGGAAGTCCTTCTTCTTCTATTAGTTAGCTTCACTGGCTATAAGGATATTTCCAAGCTGCGCGATCTGCTTTCGTCGACATTAATAGAACCCATTCCTTTATCTATCATCTGAGTCCATGTATTACTGGTCCATCTATAATCTTTCTTGATTTGAAAATCTTTCTTGACCGTATCAGTTCAGATCTTGATTGACCCGGCACTTTCAATGTGACCCATCATGGGATTTAGCGAAAAACGAAATATATGGTGGACGACGAAGAAATATGTGCCCTATTTAGCGAATATTCTGTGATGGTACTGTTAACAAAACTGGTATTTAAACGAAATGGGTGTGATCTTGTGAGATTTTATCCACTCGGCGAATTCTGTACTTTAGACGAGAGTGGCCAAAGGCAGATTAACTTTTTAATAACCTCCACTGTCATTAGGCATGTCTTACAGCCATATAGCAAGATTGAATGAATCGCGGCTACATAGTGTGGATTTTCATTTTAATGGTAATTTCACGACGTCTCCATAAAGATTTCGTCAACCAGTAGAATGTTTCTACCTGCTGTAATCCGGGTTGTAATATCGTCTTTTGTGTGGCCATTCGGTATTACAATAAATCCAAGGTATTTAAAATCGTGCACATCAACCGGTAATGAATTTATAAAAAGAGACATTTTATCAGCTTATACATAAGATGAAAAGACTCGTATTATTTACATCAATTCTTGATATTAACTCTTGAGTCCAATTCTCACTACAGTTGCTGACACGTTATTTAGCATTATTTGCTTTTCGTCATAACTGCCAGCAATGACTACATCATCAGCATATTCAAGATCTATGATACGATGATCTGGACTGATTTTGACACCTCTTAAATGCCGACTAGTGATGCCCATTAATCCAGTCTATTGCATATTTGTAAGGAATATTGCAAGGAAAATGACGCAACCTTGACGGACACCTGGTGGATTTTTATTACGAAGGAGTCTGTCAGCTCCCCATATATACAGACCTGCGACGTACGCTCATAAAATGCCTTTATGAGTCGAATGATCTTCTCTGGAACACTGTCGCGTTCCATCATCATCCTCCAAAGGGTCGTAAAGTCCATGAAACACGTTCTTGTTCTTACGAAAGTCCTATCAAGACATTTCAATAATGGATCCAATCTTCCACAAAATCCACGATATTCCATGCAACACGTAATTTCTTTTTCGTTCGTTTTCTTGCTGGATGCTGAAATGTATATTTTTTTGCTTTTGAAATTTTGTTTCAAAATTTTCATGTTGTTATTTTACTTAATTTTTTTCATTCTAATTCTTCGCAAACTGCTTCGAATTTTTGTTTTGTTTTTGCATATTTTTCATAAAAAAAAAGAATTTTTGTTTGAAGAATCAAAAAAATAAGAAATAATAAGAGAATATGTTAAATATTATTCTATGTCTTCTGATATAAAATTTCTTTCTCCATTTCTGCTTTGGCTTGCCCTACTGATTATCATGTTGAGATATTCGCTTTACGATGAGTAATGATAATGGATATCTTAAATGTTCTTCCGCCATCTCTTAATTTTTAAAAATACTCGCTAGAATTACGAAACATATGAAATTATTAGAAATAAACAGTTTTTTCAGTCGGATTTCAAAAATTGCAAATTTTGGAAATTCCAATAATTATCATGTTATTTCAAAGATATTCAAAATTATTTTAATGTATATGAGAAAACTTATAATTAAAGTGGAAATTATGAGAAAAAAAAGGAAATGCTTATATAACATAATATAATGAATGAATTTCGCCAAATTTCAAATGAATTTAATGTTTTCTCAACAAAATCTGTCCAATCTGATAAGGCATCGGAGCGAGCCAAACTAGAAAGGTTCTTTATAAAAAAAAGCTAGAAAATATAAAAATGATGAATAATTTTGAATTGAAAATTTCGTGATAAACATAGATGATTTTTAGATAATATCGGTGATATCAGTATTCTTTGTAATAATATAAACCATTTGCTTTTGCCACAAAATGCATCTACAGTAGCGACCTCCTCTAATCGAAGTTAAATTCAACAATTCATCTAGAAATTATTCTAAAAATTATTTCAAATTCTGCTAAAAGGTTATTATTATTTTTTGCTTTGCTTTATTTAAGTTTCAAATAAAGCGATTCGTTTTCTGCATAAAACTGACCTTGTTTATGATAGATTTCTTTAAAGATTTATATTTTAAGCAATTTATTACTGGCATAAATTTGATAGAGATGATAAGCAGTTCATATAAGATTAAATATTGATAATTTTAATTATTAATTTTAGTATACATTGCTGGTTTCTTTCATTCGCATTTCTGAATAATATATGGCTTACAACTAATTTATCCATTCAGCTAATTTTTTCTCGAATATGTCTAAATTCGCTCGAACTAATTATATAGTTGGTAAGCTTAGATCTATGCATCTTTGATAGAATTAATTTGTAATAATCTTATTTTCGAAGTGTTAGTTCTGTTGTGCCATTAGAAGTATTTTAAGAAGGATATTTGCTAAATTTGAGAGGATTACATTTGCGAAAATAGAAATCCAATTGAAAATATTAATTATTTTTGACAATGTGACTCGAATAATTATGAGAAATTCTTGTGGCATGCAAAGAATAAATACGACTTGCTTTCATATCAAAAGGATATTCAACGTTGATTGACGACAATTTCAGACATATAGTAGAACATCGATACTAAGCTATTAAAGTACTTCTCTTGATATAAATCAAAAATATCTGTCTTAATTGTATTTTTGGCCTTTTCAGGATTTAATTAGAATTCTATTTAAAATATGGACAAGTATAGACAACATTTGAAAACACTTGAAAAATGTTTGGTTATTGGAACGGACATTATGAATAAAATTTATCTAATAGTTAGTTAAAAGTTTTCCGTTTTGAGCGAATTCTATTTATATTCTCTGTCCTTTTTGGACGGTGATGGAGTTGAGTAGTTGATCATTCAACCTATTTTCATTCAGAATTATTTAATTATTTCTAATTATTTTATAATTATATCTTAAAATTATTTAACTAGCCGAAAATTTTGTTAGACTTAGGCACAATCTAATACACAATATTGCATTTTTCATTGTAACAACCTAATCGCTTTTAATCATCGATAAAATCTTACCTTACCGTATTAAAAAATCTTTGAAAAGCTATAATAATATGACCTGAAGGGACCCAGTAAAGAATCTAATGTTATTATGAATATTTTTATTTGACATATAAGATAGGATGGTTTTCTGTTTGTAATATCCTAAAACCTTCTTTATTTCAACATTAGGAATAACATATTTAGTTCAAAGCTGCCGGGAGAAATATTTCAATTTTATGAAAGAAATTTATAATCAAAAAAAGGGGATTGGGATAAATGAAATGAATTAGCATTTTTCAGTTTTTCATGAATATATTTCAGTATATTATTTATAGGGCATAACAAGATCAAAGAATTGGACTTCAATTAATATTTAATTAATAATGGACAAACATGAAACATGTTTCACGCTTATTTCATGCATAAAAGCCACCTTTTTTTGGTTTATCGAAAATTCTTCATTTTACTTGTACTCAGTTCAATGAGCGAAAATTTAATAGTTTTAAATAGTTTAATAAATTTCTAATTTCTTAGATTGTATTTATTAAATTTAGCATAGTGGTGTATTTTAAAAAATCTTCCTTGCAAAATTCTTATAAATTTGCTTATTGAATTTGCAAATTTATTAAATTTTATTGAATTCAGTCACTTGCATTATTTTTTTTTTGGTTTAATCTACTCAATTTTAGTGCTTTAATATCTGTGATAATACATTACCATTAACAGATATTTTTCCAATATGCGACATTTAGCGATGTGAAAGTTGTTGGGAAAAAAATTCGGATTGTATCTTACTTGGTCTCGATGCGGTTGCTTATGGAAAGGTTTTTTAAGAGGAAAGTAAGAGAAGGTAGAAATAAGTGAAATCGTCTATCACAATAATTGTAGCAGTGGTTTCTTGAAAATAAAACCAAATGTTGCCATAGGATTTAAGATTTTACAAATTGTTTTTTAAACACCAAATATATTGGACAATGTAACGAATATAATAATATTCTTTTTCATAAAATAAAATTTTATTTTAGACTAATTTGATTATTGTAAAAGAGACTTCCGTGAATGGTTTGAAAAAAAAGATGAATGAAGCCTTTGATAGTGAATATGGTTGAAAATTATAAGCTGAGGTTCAACAAAAGTGGAGAAAGAGAAAAAGGTTCAGAAATTCGCTCATTTCGGAGAGTTTATGTTCGGGCTAGATTCGCTTTTCGAAAATAATGTTGGACAACCTATACTTCCATCACCAAGTCTCCCTATCTAACAAAATTTATTAGACTAAGCAACCGAAATGGTGAGCAATATCTTAGACAAAAAAAAAAGTTATTTCGCATAATATAATACATTATATTAATTCATTGGTTATTCTTTTGAAAAGAAAAAAATATGTGAACAGAAATGGGCAAATTATGATAGTCTACGGTACGAATCAACAGCTCATTTTAGCTCAATTTAAGGTTAGCAAATGTGGCGATTTCTTTAAAGGACACAAAAAATGACGAGATTGACTTGGCTACAAAAACAAAATGGTGAATAAGATTTTGAATTGCGCTTAATTGTATGAAGCGAGCAAGTCAATGGTTCGTATTCGCGACACGTTAAACGTATTCTAATTAGAATAACATCGAACAATATAGCGTATATATTCACGAATCCTACAACTCATAAAGAATCATTGATAATTTCAATAGATACAAAATATGGCGCTTTAAAAATTAAAGAAATATGATTAAATTCAAAGGTACAAAAAGAAAACATTTAAATCGGAGGAAATCGAATGAAACATTAAGTCGAATCTCTGACGCAACATTGATGGTTTGAATGGATTTTATGAAATTATAAACAAAAATTATTCGGCGATTTACCGATTTAGAAAAATTGACGAGCGAGATATTTTGAAAATATTTTTACAAACTTAAATCGAGAATCTGATTTTTATAGAATGGAAAAAGATCGTTCAAACCGCTTTCATTAGCGATTTGCACTACACTATCATGGGCCTCTATATTGGGGCTTTTATAAAATTTAAGGCCAATAAAAGTGTTCTATCTATCTATTTTACGTAGTTGAGAATTCTTTAAAAAGCATAAACTAGGAATGCTAAGCTATGAACGAGAAACAAAAATTAATCTGCAGAAAAATGTTGGAAAGATGATGGGAAGGTTTGAATTGCGATACGCGACCATACAGTGACATATATCGGCCGTTGCTTGATTTCTAACAAATTCTTTAAAAAAAAATAGCGTTACCACAAGTGATTATGGACAGTTTTTCGAGCTGCTTCATCTTTTTATCCACTTTGTTCTATATGATGGCTCGTCTTTCATCAAATTTTAAGAAAATACCAATAATTTCATCAACAAATGAGATATCTATTTGAAATAACTTCCATTCCAGTATAGTACCAAACGGATTAAGAAGATATTTCTTGCGTAGAATATTTCACGACTATATCCACATCCACCTTCACTTTCACTCAATATCATCTTAAAAAGTTTCATCCATGTTGGTTAGCAAAAATATTCGCGACCGAAAATTGACGCCTATCTGGATATTTTAATGAACGATATAAAAAGCGAGGAATTGTAACTCGGACTCATATTAAGAAATTCTAAAAACATAGGCGACCTAGCGATGTATAGGCTTAGATGGTGGAAAAAGGAGTGGTTTCTATAACTCTCAATTTACGAGATAATTAAATAATCATTTCAACTCGCATCTGTCGCCTTTTATCGCCAAATGATTCCTAGCAAAATGTAAGGTCCAACAAGCCAGCGAAACGAGCCTAACCAGCAATATCGATTGCTTTTAGAAAAAATATCTTTCTATCCAACTCATTTCAACTCGCATCTGTTGCCTTAGGACAGGCAAAAGATGATATTATAACTCGGATCACGGCAGCTAGAAATGCGTTCTTCCGGTTCGTCGCGAAATCACCATAAAAACGAAAGTCCGCATCTATATTGCCGTGATCCGTTCGATCTTATTATATGGTTCTGAGATATGGCCAATGAGAGTGGAGGATATTAAGAAGTTACCTGCCTTTGACCACTCTTGTCTAAGGTATATTACAGGTTCGCCGAGTAGATAAAATCTCACTACATCGCATCCACCTTCGTCCAAATACCACTTTCATAAATAATGTTATCACTGAACGCCGCCTTCGCTGGTTAGGGCACATTCTCCGTCCTCCACCACATGAGTTGACGCATATTTCGTTATTTGCTAAACCGCGTAACGGTTGGCGTCAAAAGCGAGGTGGACCAATCAAGACCTGGACTGATACGGTGAGAAAAGATTTTGAACGTATAGGTGGACCAGCAATATATGGACTTAGACGATGGAAAAAGGAATGGCTTCCATTACTGTCGACGATGGCATCAGACCCCGCCGCTTTGAAGCGTCTTACCCTTGTAGCCGTTGGGGCCAGCCTAACCAGTAATGGTGAGTAATGGTTAGAAGAAGAAGAAGAAGATCCAACTCATTTAACAAAAGCAAATGAAAATATAAATGTGCAGTATTTTGATTGCTCTATGTTATTTTCCTAAATAATAATCAACTTATAATAAAATTATAAGGCAATGAAGAAACCGAATTTGAAGGATTATAAAGTATATGGAGAATCCAAGATCATCAAATAGATGGGTTTAGACAATTTACGTGTGGACAATCCTTATGCATATATCTACCGTCATTATCTGAATATTCCATAGGGGACATTGACCTGAAAAAAGTAGTGTTATTTTCTCCCTCGCAATCTTACTAATCGATTTGGCAAATATAAGAACTTTCGACATTCGCACTGGCATTATAATGGTAAAGAATAGTAAAAAAGAAGCCTTAAATCAATAAAAATAACCAAACGAAAAATATAAAATCTAGTTTTTGCCAAAATTTTTTTTTAAATTCCACATAAATTATTTATTACTATCAAAGTAAATAAAACTTGTGATTGTTGTTATCGCTTGCAAATATATATAAAAAAAAAACTATTTTAATTTATTGACAGAGTAAGTATATCAACAAATTTACTAGTACATATGGAATTCGGCTCAATCAATTAATTACTAAATCTAAAGTCTTGAAAATTGAAAATTTCACCATTTCGTTAAATCGGTGCATACAAAATGAAACTCAGTAGGAGCTCAACAACAGAAAGTAAAATATTCGAAGGAATAATTTATGAGGTATTAATTACGAGATGACTAACAGAGAAGGGTGACATGCGGTAGATTTAATATACCAAAAATTCCAATTCGATACATATATTAGCAATAATAATAAAAGAGATATACAATATCAGAGGCACAATTTCTGAGGTATGTTTAAACAAAATGGTAAATTACAGATCATTAGAGGTATATTAGAGGTATACTAATTATAATTATTAAAGGTATATTAATTATACAAATATAATAATAAATACTATATATAATATTATATAATATATAATATGCAATATAATACTATATAAATAGAAAAATAGTACTAATCGAATTTTTAAAAAATCTTGCAATAGTTTATTCGGATAAATTATTTAAATTTTGTGAATGAGAATAAATTTTTGGGGAACTTGTTTCAAAAAAATTTCTCGATTTTTTCAAAGTATTTCTTTTAGATAGAAAATATTTGGAGATTTTTAATAGAAATTAATCTAAAAAACTTTTACCAATTTTTTAATAAATTATTAAAATAAATTAAAATAAATTATTATATTATAATATATTATTAAAAGTTTCATAAAAGTTGGAAAAAAATTGGAATTTAATTCGCAATTTAAGACAAAACTTTCATCGGATTAACATCAAATTTTGATGATATCGATTCCTGCAAATTAAAGCGAAAAATAAATGATAGATGCAAAATTTCAATAAAAGGCCTAAAGATAAGCTTAAAGATAAGCCTTATCTTCTGAATAAATAAAAAATCCAAAATAAAAAAAAATAGATTAATTTGAATGGCATATGTGAAGAAAGGAAATATAATATTTTGGCGAAAAAAGTACATAAAATAAACTCACTGCATATTCGATTTGTTTTGGATGATAAGGAATTCCATTTAATTTTTTCACTAGTTCAATATGTTCTCTCTCTGGATCACCAGCAATGAGAACATTCTTTCCAGCATTCTGCAATTTTTATTTTAGAAAAAAAAGAGCCAATAAAGAATTTTTTCAAACGATTATCGAAATAAGATAACAGATAAAATTGATATCGAGTAGAGTCGGAGGACAAGAATGATGGCTCGCCTATTATCATAATGTATTGTACAAACCCATCATTTAAAGTAAAATCCAGGTAATTCTGGGGATTGACGAGAATTTAAATCCTCTTAGCGAAAAAAACATTAAATGCGTCACCATATAACGATAGAAAGGTGATAATGTGATTCGTTTGGTTTAAAAGTATTTATATTTATATTGAATCAAAAAAGAAAAATATACCGATGGTAGATTGCGCATTGTATCCATTAATTTTTGCAAACGCTCACTGAAATTTGGTGCAAATGCAGTGGGATCAATAGCGATAAAACATTGGCCCTAAATGAAATATTAATAAATATAAATAAATATAAAATATAAATGAAATATTAATTCAAAATCTTAAATTTTAAATTTTAAATTTACTTGGGAAAATTCCTAAAATATTAGAAATGAAAATAAATTACGAAGAAAATAAAAATCTGTACCAAGTCAGCCTTATCAGCTGTCGACATCCACTTCCGAACATTAGGACCCCAATGGGCACCTCCAAGTATGCCACAGAATATTTCAACGAGAGCAGCTAGTCCATATCCTTTGTAACCACCTAAAATTTGAATTTGAATCGTCTAAAGCAAAGAATTCAGTAATAGCTAAACTGAGAGATTTTTTGATAAAACCTTTTTCTTGTGGATTTAATGAAATGTACCTTCAATTTCTGTTCCACCAAGTGGCAATAAACCACCTTCTTTTAATATCTTCTGTGGATCTGTACTAACATGGCCATCTTGTGACACTCCCCATGTTTTCGGAATCGTCTGATTTTTTCTTGATGCAATTTCCACCTAAAACTTATAAAACTTGTGATATTACAAATATATATAATAAAATAAGAAAAAAACGAGTCGAAAACTGTATGAAAAAATAAAAAATACAATAAAAAGTGGTGCCTTTTTGGTACCAAGGAAACATCAAACATCGCATAAGAACAACAATAATTCTATAATTTTTAATGGCATCTCTATTCAAAGATTTAATGAACGGTCAGAAATTGGTGATTATCCCTTCTTTTTTTTTCAAACATTCATTTTTTCATGTGACCGATTTCACTGATCACTATTTGAAGATTAAAATGTAAAAACAAAAATTGGATTAACTCCCAGCAGCAGTTGGTAATAACCACTTATAAACGATTGATTTCTAAATCATCCTAGAAAATTGTAAATTTAAAAAATCCACTCGAAATTACCTTTCCAATTGCAACAGATGTCGTTGCCATATCTAAAACGAAAGAATCACCATGCATTCCTTTCGCAGCAATTGTAAGTGGATTAGTTCCAAGAGCTGCTTTACTGCTTCTTGTTGGATACATTATTGGCGAAGTATTAGTAAATGCCAATCCCTAAAATATTAAAACTCCATAAAAATGGAACCTCATTTATTGCCAAATTCTTTTCGGTCTAAAAATCTAAAGAGTTTATGCGTTTCACAAACAGTTTACTAAAATTAAAAAATAAGTGCATATCAAACAATGCAGTTTTGATCCATAGCTCGCATACTATACCAACCAGCTATTCCAAAATGATTTGAGCCTAAAAAATAATATAATTTACATAAAATATTCGGATAAAATAGGCAAAAAAATATGCTCAAATGTTTGATGCTAAAAAATTGAGAAAAAGAGAAATAACCTTTCGCAACAACGAAACCGACACCGGCTTTTTTCGCTTTTTTAACAGCAATATCAATACAGTAATTACCAACAACTGGACCAAGCAAATTATTACCATCTATCCAAGCGCTTGCATCTCGTTCTTGCAAAATAATTGGTGCACCATCACCATTACATACTTTTTTCTCTACATCACGCATATACATATCTTCAAAATTTATAAATTTACAAAACTTATATTTTTTAAAAAATTAAAGACTCTGGATGGCCATAGGATGACATTGGCTCATTAATGTCTAAAGTCGTCCGGATGCATACAGCATAGATTCTCTGTCTTGTGATACATCATTAAAAGGATATATACGAGAAGCCTAACTATTATCGTAGCTCTAACTGTCTGGCAAAACAATCTATGAATCAGTTATGCAGCCTGAAAATAAGGAAGACTAAGGATTTTAGAAGCATTTTTAAGATTTTTTGTTGCAAAAGATATTGATTTTAAAAATTATTAAACTAAAAAAAGAACCAAGGCGATTTAATCCATGACTATAATGACCGCGAACATCAGCAGCAACTAATACGTCAGCCAACTGCTTTGCATGACTTTTACAACATCCACTTTTCATCATACAGTCATTTATGAAACGAGTCACCTTTAAATTTATTGAAAAACACCATGAGTTTTATTGAAATTCAGGAAATAATAATTTTATTCCACTTAAATAATTTCAATGAATTTTAATCATTCATTCTTTTCCATCGTATAAAAAGTGTCAAGAAAACTGCTAAAGAAAAAAAAACCTCGTGAACTTCAACAATTTGTTCAGTGTTCTCAGAAACTTTGCCATGACTAGGAATAGAAAATGACCGACAGGAAAATGATGGCAAATTGAAAGAATGTGAATTTTTTGATGGTAAATAGACTGATAAAACTGATTTATTTATGCAAAAAAACCCGTCTGACGCGAAATTTAATTGTTTTCGAAGCATCTTTTTTTGCTATTAAGTTTAAAAAATATCTGAAATGTTTTAATAATTTCACAGTAAATTCAGATTAAGAACCAATTTCAAATAATTTAAGTTAACATTATAAATAGTAGTACTGTCATAGATCTACGCTGGTTAAATGATGTATACTGCTGTATGAACGTATAACTCGTTACCTCCTAAGCCCTGTGATGAATAGCGGTCAAAAGCGAGGAGGACCAATCACGATCTGGACTGATACAATCAAGAAATATTTTGAATATATAGATGGCCCGGCTTAGATGATGGAAGAAAGAATGGCTCTTATTACTGCCAGGAATGTTATAGGAATAGGAACGGGCCGCTTGGGAAAGTCTATCATTGATAGTAGAGCCAGTCGAAAAAGTAATGATAAGAGTTATTAGAAAAAAATTGTAAATTAAAATTAAATAACCCATCAAATTAAATTCGTGCTGTTTATATTACCTAAGCAAGTGGTAAGTGTTCAACGTTTCCGGTGAAACTAATTCCCTTGTTTTTTAGGGCGATGGGAGAATTAAATTACAGATGGTTTTTTATCATTTACCATTCCGATTTTTTAACGACTAATAAATACTATCGTTTATAAAGCAATGATTGTTTTAATCTGAAAAATTCATAGCAGATATTACTTTTTTCTAATATATATAGGAAACAAATATAGGGATCGTCCAGAGGAACCATCCTGACTATAAGTTATGACTGGAACCGACACGAAGCATTTTATAACAGTTTTTAAATACTTTTTTGAAAGTAAATAATAAAAGTTGATAGACAATCGTGAAAATTTCAGTAAAATTTTCTAAGCACAACTTTTCTCAAGCAATAGTTTAGTTTAATGAATCGCAATAGGTCAAAGATTTTAGGACCGTTCAACTGATGTCAATCCAGATGATTAACTCCAAAAATTACTCCAAGCATAAACCAGTAAAGTACCACGAATCATTCTAAAATTTATATATTCTCTCAATCTCTCGTATATTTAACTAAATGCATACAATTTTTTTTGATATATAAAATAGAGAATCAATTTAAAAAACGCAGCGCACATAAAGAAAAATTCGATTGAAAATGAAAATATTAAACCAGCAAAAAGACTAAAAGTCGACAAAAAGGGCGTAAAAATTTACGCTTACATTTTAGATTTTTTTCAATGGATTTACGTTTTCCATTAAAAATTATTAAAATTGATATTTTAATTTATTTATTCATTTTTTTGAGAAAATTTCCTAAAAAAATCTGAGAGTCTAGTAGAAAAAATTTCTGCGCAACGCAAAATGCAGCTAAAAAAAAATTTTATAAACAACTATTCTATTAGAATATGTAAAGATTAAAGAATAGAATTAATCGATATTGGAAAAATAATAATAAATAGTTTTTTTAAAATATAAATTGACAAAAAAAAGCTAAAATTTCGATTACATGAAGAAAATTTCGAATAATAAAAATGTTTCGCTTTAGATATTTTAAAATAATTTATAATAATTATAATAATTTAATTTTAGATTTTAGTCAAAATATTAATATTCTTAATTATTAATATTATTAATATTAAAAATTAATATTCTTAATTAAAAATTAATTAATTAGTTTACTATATCTAATTTAGATAGTTGTACAGGTTGCTCAGCGAGTTACTTAGCTCAAGAAGATCAGCACCGGCGGTTTTCCACTTCGATCGAGGAGTATGAGTCGAATTCTTGACTCTAACGATAATCGAAACCATTATCCAGTCATTTATCCTCCTTCTATACATCTAACTCTTCGAATCAACGAAATAAAATTACGAATACCAGCAAAACTCCATAATATCGCTACTCTTGAATTTTTGATCAAAATTCATCCAATTTTTTGTGAAATAATAATAATTTTAATATAATGAATGCGAATCAAATTTTTAAATTTAAAAAAAATATTTAAATTTAAGCTGCTGAAAAATTAAAATTTTTTTAATTTTTAATGCTTTTGCTCATATTGAAAATTTGAAAAATATAAACATTTTTTAAAATTATATGAATTTTCGATTAATCATTAAAATTTTATTAAATAAATAAATCGATGTTTTGTATTTTATTTGTATTATTTCGCGTTAAAGAAATTTTCTTTTCTATGTCAAATAAAATAAAATTTTAAAATAATTAAAATAATTTCGATATTTTCCTCATTTTCTCTTATATACTAAACAACTGATGCATTTCTAAAGATAAAAATTCAGTTGGTTTGCCGAGTTTTGATCGACTAAAGACCGTACGGATGTGCGTTATATTTTGATTAAAGACCGGATGTTTGCGTTTATTTTTTACTATTTAGTTTGCCTTAGTTCATAGAATTTTTTATTTTTTCATATAAATACGATACGCCGATTAAAAATACTCGAAGTTTTCCCACTGTTAATTGAATCATAAATTAACAACGCGCGAATGAAGTTTATTAAATCAGAAACACATGACTGGCTAAAGATATTGGAATAAGCTGAAGATTAAACCTGAAGTCAAGTTCTTCAAGTTTTAAATTTTTCCTGCTTTAACAACGCTTCAAATATATTTAAGCTTTTTTTGAACCATTAAAACCAAATAACAAAACAATTGAAGAGAAGAGATGAATGCCCGTTTTTGTGTGAATGACCCAGTGGAACAAATGCTTAGCCAAATATCAAATAAAAATGTGACTAAAATATATCTCGTTTTTGATACTTTTCAAACATTTATCGATATTTGAGTCGCAAGAGGGATATTATCCAGTATTAACTCTATCTGGTACTTTAAATTTTAGGTCAATATGAAATGTTAGATTTTGAGCGTTCCGATCATCTTCTTTTCCTTCGATAATATCAATTAATTTTCGTATTAAATCGTTTTGCATCATTCGCTCTGGGCTTATTTTTGATACTTCGGGAATAAATGGGAAATCGGGAATACCTCTTCGATCTTCGATATTTTCTTCTAAAAATGATTCTTCTATTAAGAAAAATTTTTACGAAATTTTTAAAAAAAATTAAATTATAAATTAAAAAATTATAATTTATATTATAAATAAAAATTTGACAAAAAATAAATTATAAATATAATATAAATTATAAGCAAAGAAGAATTTTAAACTAAAAAGTTACTTGATATTGATATTAAAGTTACTTGATATATTTCTATTGGGAAAAAAAAAATTTGTCGCATGCTTTTTCATTTTAACGATAATTTTCTTTTGTTGGTTTTCAATAAGGTTTTTACAACATAATAAGTCTATTCGGTCTCCTTCCCTTAATTCATCTTCCGAAGTTCATCCTTCTAACTATATTTATATTTTATATCTTTGTTCAACCATATTATTTCCTTTAAATTATGCCTCAAATTTTAAAGCCTTTGATTAACTCCCAACTAAGAATGAAAATTTGAATTGGTAGATTAGCAGAAATGCTGGTGTTTTACTGAATGAACTGCTTTTTTCTGCCGATCAAAAAATAGAAAATGAAAAAGGCTAAAATGAATGACATTTTAACACTTAATTCATTCACTCTTATTCCATCTATATCAATGAATCCTAAGGTCCTCGCCAATATTATCTACAAACGTATTTAAGCCCATTAAGATTTCCTAAATCATTTTATTATCAGCCAAATCATTCATGCAATTACGCATATTTTAAAAATAAATATTTAACTATATATGCCAGAAATATTAAATTTACCAAAATTTTCGCCATTTTTGCATAAATTTTCATTTTCACATATTTTTTCAGCATTCATAGTTTTTAATTTACGTAAAACTTCATTCATATATTCTGAATCACAGGTTATAGTTAATTTATATTTCTTCGCTATTTCTTTGCACGATTCTTGTTGCTCCTAAATTTAATAAAACTTATATTTACCGTGTCACATTGATAATAAACAATTCACTGAAGTGATAATAGTGCATCGTTCACTATTTCGATGACTATCATTCCATGAACATTTTATTGTTTTTATTAAATTTTAGACCAAAGTTTCTATTAAAAAAAAAAATTAATCAAAAAAACCTGTCCAAATTTTGGGTTTATTTCAACTTGCTCTTTGAAACTCTCCATAAGTGCTATACAAAATCGACAAAATGATTCAGAATTTTCCGCAAAATTTGATGAGATAACTAATAACAAAAACAATGGTAATATAATCATCTATAAATAAATATACATATTTATAAATTTAAACAAGTAATTAGTTATTCTGCACTGCGGCAAAATTTCTTCTTATTTCAATAATGCGGCAATGATATCAATTATAAGTTTTAAATTCTTTAACTATCATTTTTTTTCTAAGGGCATTCACCATTTCTTATTTGGCTTTTCCACTGGTTACTAAAGTGATAACTACTGCCGATCACTCTGAGATGAAAGAGTGAATTATTCGTTAGTTTTAGCCTTATATAACCTTACTTCTATCCTTAAGGGATAGGAATGGAACAGATGTTTCTCAATTTTAATCAAAGGAATCAATTCGTGGTAAATAATTTCTTGTAAAATATCCAATTAAATATCATTAAAAAAATAGTTCGAAAAGTAGGAAAAGTAAACAAAAAAAAAAAAATTTGGCAATACGGCAAAATGGAAAGTGAAAATTTTAGCAATGATAATAACAATTTTTTTTTAACTCGATACGAATCTTGCTAACTTAACGAAACTAGTTCCACGACAGGCAGTGATCTTTTTCTTAAATTCCACTAATTTCATTGCAAAAGCGCGAAAATAAGCTTTTAAACTTGTTCTGATTTTCGCAAATAGAAATTTTTATCGACTTTTCCAAATGCAATTTTTCTTAATGATAGATGGTTGATCTATTGCTGCTAAGCACCACTCGTTAAGTGGAAAATGGCCGTAAAGTAGGTCGTTAAGTTTGTTATAGCGAAAATTAATTCATATCATATCTTACATTTGAAAAAAATGGCATATTCTATAATAAAAGACAAAAAATCTTGATTAAAAAATATTCATTAAAGCAATAAATTTATTTAGGTCATAAGCATTTGTGATCCCACTTTAATTCTTTTGCATCGCTATTTCCAAAAATAAAATTCTGTAGTAAAAGAATGATGGAAACACCAAACGATATTCCAATGTAATTTTTACCTTAGCAAGCAGCATATGTAATAGGTGTAAGCTGCTTCTCAGAAATATGTTGAAAGCCTTTAGAAACAAGAGTACAATGTCGCCTATATAATAGTGCACATAGTAAGGCCTCGATTGATTATAAAAATTTTTTTTAAGGATATTGAGAGGCAGCCGATGTTCCCTTACATTTTATCTTATCTAACTTATTATATTGGATATCAGAAGTCGTCATCCTTATTGCAGTTCGAGCAATTATCGTATCCGGCAGAGATCAAGGATATTCGCTGTATTATTATGGCATTTATAGCAGGGAAATGGTGTAATAATTTGCATGTATGAAAAGTGTCGTCCGGACTCTAATTGAATGGCGAACGAATGGGATGACTGGATATCCCATGCTTACTTTAAAGGAAAGTTCTACAATGATTCGGTCATCAATGTGTATGATCACAGTCTGTGTATAGCTGATGGTAATAATAAAGAAGCAGAACCACAAATGCTAAAAGAATCTCTCTCAAAATTGGGTATAATCGAGGGAAATCCATAGAACAGGTGTTGCCACGATAGGCTCTGTGGCTTTCTTCCTTTCGCCGAAGAAATAGACTTTTTGCAAGCATCATATGCTTTTGGCGTCAGAAGATTCACTATTTCAATCGTTGATTGTTGTATTTAGCTTTCAAACGAGATTTATTATATTCGATAGCTGCTGCTGAACTGACGATTTCTCTGGATCTGATTATATTATAATTCGAAAATCTTCATTAATTGATAACAACGCATAGAACATAGTGCTGTTCCAAATCTTTCTACTAATATTTGGTGCCATTTCAAATCGAAATAGTGAAATATTTCAATAATAGAAATTGGTGGGAAGTACTGGTCACAAATTAAAATCCCTCTAGAAAATTTTGTCAAACCATAGTAGAATATGCCACTCGTAAATGAGCTATATAAAATAAAAATAGCAGAAAGGATCGAATTATCCAAAAAGCCGCCAAAACTGGCGAGGAAATTCGAACCATTGCGCAACAACTTTTATTCGAACCGTTAAAGGATTAGTATGGCTCCTGCATATGGAGACGGCTGTAGACGATAATCGAGAGAACTATTTTGCTTTCATCGCGAAGCACACAAAGGATGGTTATTGAAATGTTCCGAGATAGCGATGAGATGAGTGGTGATGAGGTTTACCATTCGAAATATTCTCCGTTATTAACCAAATAAGATGATCTTCGGGCTGAAATGCTATTGAGCGCCAATTCAATATAAGCAAACGAGAGATAGATAAATGCATTCTCTTCTGTTTCCAAGTAGAGTGACAGGACGTACTGTGACAGTTATAGAAGAATTAGCCCATTAGATTTTTTTTTATAGAAAGTTAAACTTTTTAAATGCCTTTTTAGTCTCGCGGCCAGTAACACCACATCAGTAATGATACGAGCTAGAAGAAGAAGAAGAAGAACGAAACATAACCATGCGATACAAAAACACATTCTTCTTCTAGTTTGTAAATTCACCAATTAGATTTCTTAAAGGATTCGTTTCCTCCATAAAATATTGCCAATCTTTATTAAAAAGAACTTTGTTAAACAGATTCATTAAAATTATTTATTAAAATTACATTGTAGAGACGGTTGGATAAGGAGGAGCGAAATGAAGGGAAATTTTCAGCAAAGCAGTCGGCCAGAGAAGTTTTTGTATTTTATGACCGCCACAGTATGTTAAAAAACATACAATATAGGCAATAATTATTAATATGAGAATTTCTAGCAGTAATATAATTGTCAAAGCAATAACTTATAACTATACTATGGTTTTATTACTTAAATTTGAGATTGTAATAACTGTGAATAATAAAAAAAAATTTGTTGGTACTCGTTGTACGAATAAAAAGGCAACAATATGAGATGAAGTCCGCCATGGCAATGAACTCGCAAACTTAAGAAAGCACCTATTGCTTGCTAAAATTTTTCCCATGCTTCTTTGCGACAATGCATTAGGCTTCGAAGGCTTAGTTAGTTAGTTAAGTTGAATGGAATAGACCATAGGGAGATATCGACAGGTAAGATTTGAAAACAGTTCGACACGTCGCTTTTTTCACTGGTCTATAAATTATAATTCATTTTATAACTATATTCGTATGGTATGAGTGTATGAAAAAAACGAGAACATGATCTCAAAGTGAAACCATTAGATATTTCCAAAATCCTGTTTTTTTTTTGTAAGAACTATTTTTTAAACAGTCTCCTAGCAAATGTCCCTCACCTCTAATTAGTTCCTTTCAATATCTCATTAAATCTGCCATGTTGTTTTGCTATATCTTCCCACACAGTCATCTTTCGGCTCTTTCCTCCTTAAATCATTTTCCTCCGAATTGTAATCCATTAATAGCCTACTAAACGGCATTTTCCTTTAGCATCATTCAGCATTTCATCGAATACTCTTTTAATAAAGCCAGTAGTAACGCTATGCCAAAGTCTAACAACCTTACAACCTTTACTCCCCAGTCACTCAGCATAATCCAAACCAAATGAAATTTAATTTTGAGATATAATTTCCAAAAGTAATTGGTTATTGAAAGTGAAATTCAGGTGATTAGGTGATTATTGCAGGCCCATATCCATCCCTGTCTTTCATTAATTTTTTTAATGCAAAAGCATAGAAATTAATAATGTTAAATTATTTTGACTATCAGTGATAAAATCGTTATTCCATTCATTCTCAATTTCCACGTTTTTTTTCAAAAATGATTATAATTTTTATTATAATTTTATAAACTTCAAACATTTATGATAAAAAATTTATGATAAAAACATTTATGATAATTTATAAAAAATACGAAAATATTTGAAAACAGTAAAATTTATTATTAAACAAAATAAAAATGAGGTCAGCAATAGTCTTAGAAATCAATATCGCCGTCATGTTCTTTTCTTATCAGTACGATTTTAATTGAATTTGTTCTTTCATAAAAACAAAAAAAAATTAAAGAAAATAAAAAGATTTTACTTTTATTCGAATAATTTGGAACATTTTTCGGAAAATGCATATAATAAAAATTTTTACATTATTGGCGGAAAATCATTAAAAACTTGATTTTTACGATACTTTTATTTATAATAAACTTTCAGTAAAAAAAGTGACGTTAACAAATGCCTTCTATGACGAATAATAAAAATATTTTCGATATTTTATAACAAAGGCAAAATGAATATTAGTGACTGACTCAGTTAAAAAACCTCGTGCCGAATTTATTGTAGAAGTTAAGTCAAATGCAGAATTTCAAAAATTAACTGTTACACATTGCTAAATTAGTATAAGTCGGTATGCGTGGATGTAGCCACGTGAACACTTGAGAAACGAACTTATCTATATCTGTCGAAAATTTTGTAAAAGCTTCTTCACATTTAAAACCTTAATATCTCATATTCAGATCGGGCTAATTGTGTTTAAAGTACCCTCCACTTCCAATATCCTTTTTTATTTTAATATTTTAGCCTCTTAGAACTTCATAAACGTCTTTCGGAAAATTCTTCATAATAATTCGAAACCTATTATATCTCTTAACTATGAAACTTCTGAAACCTCGAAAATCTTCCATTGGTGCTCCAGTAAATCTCGCATCGATCTTTTGTCCTAATTTCTTAATACATTGATGAATAACATTGATGTATCTCCTAATGTGACCTTAAAGGCAACATTATAATCCTTTGACTAGTTCATCCGAATCGGAGGCTATAACTTTCCATATCCTCCGCCCAAAACACTTCCTTTACCCTTTGTTGACCAGGTTTCTCTGGATTCTTTGGTCAAAATCAAGTAGTGGTACTTCCTTAAGCTCTCTTACATTAAGCCAGGTTATAGGGTGCAGTATTTTAATATTTTGAACCACACTTTGCTTTCCTTATCATTGGTACTCATTAATATTGCTCGCACAATTTCCGTGCAGAAATTAAAAGTACTTAATGATATTCCTATCTATTGTACTATGAAAACTTTTCCAAAGCTCAGTCAAATATTCTAAAACACTCCTAATTCTATAATTTTTAACCATATTCCATCAATGTTAG